GAGAGAGAGAGAGTGAGATAACCGTGGCGAATATCAGAGCCCTTCTGATGACGACGGGGTCGAATAACGAGGCCTCGCCATCCACGATAGGACACGGTTCGGAGTTGAAAATTACTTCCGAGTCACGGAGCTTTTCCTGCGGGGCCAGATGACGGCGACGACGACGCCGACGACCCTCCGACGAGTACCAGCCGGAGGTGAGTTATGATAGTCTATCGAAGTAAGTTCGTTACCGATGAGATTCTTGATTTTCTATTTATCGGGAGACCGTAAGGCAGCTAGGTAATAAGTCTCTTCGTAGCCGTTGCCTCTCTCTCCCGGACGAAATTAGTTCTTGAAGGAAATATATTGCGGATGCCGAGGTAAATACTGAAAAATCCCAGTGCTTCGGGTAATCTTTTTTCTATTACGACCAGCAATTTGCGACGGGGCACGATAAATTCGCGCGAGCGAGTGAATTTTAACACTTATACGTGATAATATCATATCGCCGGCATTGAATAATGTTCGTGGAAAGATAGAGCGCCCGGGGCGATGAAGCACGCGCGAGAATTCAAGAAGATGATTACTGAAAAAGCAAATAAAGGATGCTTATGAATGAAGGAATCATGAATGGGAAAAAATCAACATAGTCAGAAACGAGATTTCGGATTCTATTATCCAGAAATAGAAGAAAGAAAGAGCCAATAGTGGATTTTATCGGAGGCCGCAAGAGAACGGCAATGCATTTTCTCGCTTGATCACGGAACTCATTGATCCCACGTTATTATTAATAGGTTTGTGCGCGCGTATACTCTCTCCGCATAATGGAATAAAAATGTAAAAAAAAACAGCGAGCACGGCTCGAGAACGCATCTACCGATAGTATTTGAAAAATGAACCACGCTCGTTACGATTGATTATGACTTACTGCACCGTTTTGGTAAGCGGAATAAATGCACTCGCTTTATTGTGCATCCATTAAAAATCCATTTACCAATGGCAGCTTGTGGATTGTAGGATAATAGCTGCAGCAGCACTCGGTGTCCGATAGAATAGCTTTAACTACCGATTTTCTATCGTCTTTAATTATGCCGTTTGATCGATTCACTCACCAAATTTTTTCTGTCTTCGTGACTAATTCACAAGTCATTTTACCACTAAAATCTTTAGAGAGAGATACGAGAATATATATTGTAATTGCTGCTGCCTAATTAAATCTCGATTTAATAAATTTTATACTGTATAAATCCATATGTTTAATAATAATAATTCTCTTGACAGTCTTCTTGTACATACTTTTCTGTGCCATTTTATGTATCATTTAGAGTGTAATAAATTGTAATATACCAATTATCTTTTAAGTCTTCAATAATATGTATTATTTGTGCTCAGATAAGCCATAACTAAAACTGTTTACATGAAACGCTCTTATCTAATACGAATTTAAGATTACGTCCATAGAATCTGAGTAGTTTCGTCGCCACAAGCAAATCGCTTAACCGCCGTGATATATTTTGACGGGCTAATGGATATCGCGTACGGATTATCATGCTAAAGAGACGTTAATTAACACGTCGCATCCAGTAATGGCCGTTCAACCGGGACAGAGGTTCTCATATATGCAATACCCGTATCGTGTACGGCGTTTCCTAGATAAAAGGAGGACGGAAATTAACATCAATACTGTAGATTGGTGTTAACTGAACTAAGTTTTATATTCCGCATATATAATTTGACGGAAACTTTATGATTTAACACGACATACTTAGTTTCTTATATTATAAAAATATTAATTAAAAGAATATATTTTAGACAGAAAGAGAGAGAGAGAGAGATTTGCATTATTTTTATAAAATAAGACATTGATTACTAACTTTAATTCAAGTCAATCAATTAAATTATTAAGTCATATTAATAGTGGGATAATATAAAGCAATATAAAGATTATAGTTCTTTCCATAGAAAAATGTCATGAATATTCGATCTCAAAGATTCCGAGAATTCAAATCGCAGATTCTCGGAAATCTATCGAATTAAATGATTCCATTTCTATTTGATGTATTTATTGAAATGAATGAAATGTCCAAACTCGCTTTTCTGATAAAATCATGTTAAAGTTATTATTTAACGCTTATAATTCCTAACTGATAGATAAATATAAATCTTAGGTAGATCTAGATTGTGCTCAAAAAGTCATTATATGAAACCGTTCTATAAACAAAACTTATAAAAAAATATTGAAATAATTATATATATTTATATGATAAATATAGAATTCATTTTATATCCCTCGCTTATCAGATTAAAAGTAGACGGCAGTAGCTTTATCAATTCGTAACTATACTGAATAAGTCAGGAGAGGGAACTTGAGTTAAATCCAGGAAATCGAGCCGTTTCGTACGGAGTCTGCTAATTTCCCCTCGACATATGTAACATATGTATAAAGTGAAATAGGGGCATTAATATCTACTCGTAGCTATGTAGTAATAAGTAAAGGAGTCGGCAGATACTCCATTATAACTAAAAGAGCGTACATATATTTGTAATAGACATTAGCACAATGATATATAAGATTAGTATAGCGTAGACTGCATTGGACGCTATATCGAGCAATCCGTCTTCACAATGTGACACAAAATGACGAGATTTATTGGCAGAAAATAAATTTCGTTTTACGATTTTCCAATATTTCATCTTCAATCCCAACCGCACAACGCCTGTGTAAAACTCACGCGGAGCGTCGAAAGAATCGAATTTCGACACATTGCCGCGAACTTAAAATAAAATTCAATTGAAAAGTCTGATGATTTTTTATAGTATCGTGCACACCGAAATGAATTACAATCAAACTGTGTTGAATATAAAAATCGCAAAATTCTTTTGAAAAAGAAAATGTTTTTCTCTTTATAAAGATTCTTTTATAATAATACATATGTACATATGGAAATATGAACTATGTAATAAATATAATAATAATCATGTGTTTATACATGTCTAAATTCGGTGTAATATTATTTACAAGTGTTATTAAAAATGTGTAATTCAGCAATTTTTCAAATTCATTGTCAGCTGTCTGATAACAAGCACACAAGCACTTCAAATAAAGCTAAGCATTCGCGTATAAACATCGATGGAGAAATTTGGGGAATCACCTAATATCTACAGATGTGCAGTCAATTCTGGCTTACGGTTCCCAGGAAAGAAATCTCGAGCGCGATTCGATCGATGACCTAGCCAGATGGTACCTACCTCTATGCCACGTCGATTCCTCCATCGCACCCACTTGTTGAACCCCGGCCGCCAATACTCGACAAAGTACTCCTCGGTGTACTCGACCCCGTGACCGTTGCCGAATCTGCCCTGCGTCCTGGTGGACGTCAGTAAGCGCGGAGCGTGCAGATTCACCTCTAGGTATTCCTTGCCTTCCTTGGTTACCATATTTCTCGGGCACCAAGCGCCGCCACCCTTGTCTTGTCGTAGCCTGAGAAACCGAGAAATTATACCGAGGAGTTATTACGAACGCTCTTGAGGGAAGTACGTCGCGTGAAAACACGCGAGAAACGCACACGTACAGCAGACGCGACGTATATACGTTTCGCGTGACAAACGCACAGGCATGTTCTCCCGTTATGCTTTTCTAACCGTGCGTGTTATGGCGGCTACCCCGCTCGTATCGAGAGGAAGATAGTAAAAATGATATCTAGAATAGAGAATATATATATATATATATATATATATATATATATATCACGATTATCGCGGATTTATTATACGGATGGTATAATTAATGAGATTCCCGTCCTAGTTCTCTTTCAAGATCAACAGCCGCCTGCGTGTAAATTAATGACGGGGCGATTGATTTACGGGCGATCTTTGAATCTGAGCACGCTACATCGTCGAGGTTCACGCGGTATTGATTATGAATAACTTATTTTGCAGCGAAGCTTTTATCGCGATAGCAGCTTCTTGTGGACAGAGGAAAATGGAAGTAATTTTTTCTCAGGGCTCTTGGAGAGTTCGCAAAAGGAGAAAGGAGACTGATGGTTAATAGATTCTATGAAGAAAAATCGTGATCATAAAAGACTTATGTATAAATTTAAGGAGAGATAAAACAATAGAGGATCTATAATTATAACTTCGTACTAATTTATATTTTCAATAGAATTGGAATTCTATAAAGCTTTATTTTGATATGTATCACATGATACATATCATTATGATTATTTTATAATATGTATTCACGAAGCTAATAGATTTCAGAAATTAAGAACAGAGTTGAAATAACGATGTATTAGAAAATTATTAACTCAAGTCATTAACTCAAGAATCGATAATAGTCATTTCAGAAAAAGTAAATCTGAGAGCGGTTATATTCTACTCTAAATTAATAATCGATTCTTTTCAAATTTTATTTATTTCAATCAAGAACTAAATTATGTGAATATTGCTTTTTCCACAGATATACATATATTCCAATATTTTACATGAGTAAAAAAAGGGAAATAAATATTGAAAGTATCGAGTATTTCGCAACATCGCTCTGGGAATACGCGGAAGCTGCAGGATGCACAAGGCGTATTCTGCTGGCGTCTTCCAATTCTCTGAATTTTCAAAGCTAGTTACTCTGACGACGAACCCGCTAAATTAAATTCCGGAAATATATCTTTTGTCAAGAATTTCATGAGGCATCGACTCGCTAATTAAATCTTAAAACGAAACTCCGCGCGAGCACGATGAGGAAGTTTATAAGAGACACGATCGCGTTATTATTATCAGGTGTTATTTCCGACACGCCGTGTCACGAGCACACGCCCGGAAATCCATTGAAATACACATATCTACACGCACGGCTGTGTCACAAAGGATGGGAGAGAGAATCTCCATGGAAATATTTCAGCTGGTTCAGTCGTGGAGGACTGCTATACATATAGGCGGCATGCCCGCATGTAAACAATAGACCAAGCGAAATCCACTGAAAGCGTTTGCGGTTAATTAGGCAGCAATGCTGTTAACAATGTCCTGGCTTCAGCAAGGCCCTCCGTAACCTTGCGTTGCAATCCGTCGCAATCCGTAGTTACGCGGCTCGACGAGCACGGGATTTCATTCAAATAAAGTCATCGCTACTCGTCCTCACAATCAATTTCGCGATAGCCCGAGAAGATGCTATTTATCCGATAGTACAGCCCATCCGATTGTCAGCGAGATTGCGATCAAGATAAAAGAGATATGGAAATTCGAAATTTCCATATAACCACGCTGATTGCCGTAAATGTGTGTGATACCATACATTTAAATAGAGCGGATTGTTTTATAATACAATGCGTAAGTCATTTGCTGTGAATCGCGGTTGATTTATTGAAATTTTCTATTTATCGTTATCTGCCCGGCTACACATCGATAATAACGCTTTCTCCTCTTTTCATATTTATTTGTGGTCGGCATTTTCTATTTATCTCAATTCATGATAAAATTCGAATCGAATGTAATTCAATTTCTGAGATAAAATAAGCTGAATTTCGCTAATTTAGATATTAATGTATTTTATTATTGTAATATTTTATTATATTATCAATATCTCTATCACAGATAAAAACAGAAACATAATCATAAATTTTACATTGTTCGAGAATACAAAAATATAAATTATATCGGAGATTTTGTACATACAATACAAGATTATTTTCATTATTTCATTATTTTGAGAAGTGACTTCCGTGGCAATAGGTACAATATTGACCGTATTGCAGTACTTCCGCTCGTTAATTGCGCCATCAACGTTTCCAGATGCTCCGTAGGTTGAACGTAAAAATAAAAGAACACGGTGTACCGGGAGTCGTAAAAATTCCCTTACGTGCTTTCTTCGAATCTGAAAGATTCATGGCGCAGAAATGTTAGGCTACTTCATTGTTAAACAAAGAAATGTAAACGTACGTTCAGAAAATCGTTTAAAATCCTTGCATAATGTAATTAAAAAACTTCTACTATTTTTTATTTTTTATTTTCAAATATTGATTATAACAAGTCTTTATTGTTAGGAAAATTTTGTTATGATTTATTGTGTTTATTATCTGATAGTAATAATAATTAATTTCGATCAATTTAGTAATCTAAAAATCGTCTTTATAAAGGAATTTGTTGCAATGATTTAAAAAAGAAATATAACGATGTGATATCATCATTATATTAGTGAAAATTCAATATAATAAAATTTAATGGCACTAGATGGATTTCTTCTAAAAAAATACATTTCATGTAATAAAAATACATTTCATGTAATAAAAAATTCAATATTACAGATATAACATTAGAATCAAAGTACATTATTAGCTATAAATATAATATATTACGATAATGAAATATTTACAATTAAATTAGATGAAATCAAATAATATGGAACCGTTGATAATTAAATTCTCCCTATAAATATTCCATCTCACAGTACATTTGCGAGGACCTTAATTGAGAGAACGATACAGATGCAACGCAGTGAACCATCGAGTTGTGGTTCTTCCAAAAATAAATGGAGAGTGCAATCTTAATAGGAAGCCAATAGTCTCCTCGGTACAATTTACGGCAGCCAATCGACGAACCGACCAGCCATCCTATAGCATGGGTGCTCTAAAGTGGTCTTCTCGAGAAATGTACGAGAGGTAAGAGAGCTCGGTTCACGGGCCGACCAGAGGCATTACGCCGCCTCATCAGTCGAAAGGTGCATTAGCATTGCTAATGATTCGCGATCGTTACCGCCACACGCCGCAGCTATCATCCGCGCCGCTTCGTGCGCGGTGTGTTTGTTATTTGGAAGTGGGCCACGGCGAATGCGGGAAGGAGAAACAGTATTCCAAAGCGGATAGGAGAGAGAGGGAGAGGCCAGTACCCCCGTTAACCGGCAATAATTTTCGCACGACAATATCTTGCAACGTCCTGTAGATATGCGTCCATTGTTTCATTCGGCTAAAACACTAGCGGATATATAGTTCGACTCGGCCAGCCATAGAACAGAGAATTTCCCGTTGCCTTTTACGCGAAATTCCCATGGCTATTAACAAATTGATGCGTCAAGCTCTCTCTCGTCCTCCCACCCTCTCCCCTTCCCTCCTTCTCTCGTTTTTGTGGATTTAAAGCGCTTCTTCGCGAAATATCTTCCGTAATTCTGTAAAACGCCCCGATCCGTAATCCATTAAATTAAGGTTATTGTTTTATCACGATAAATGCAGAAAATTTACGTAAAATGAGCGATCCCCCAGTTATTAATCGCGAAGAAATGTACCGCGTACGTTTGCAAATGTGATATAATGTGTGCACAGTAAATATTGGATCGCAAAAGATATTACAGAGCTGAATTACTTACGATCAATAAAACCATTTTGTAATTTGCACCATTTTCCTTTGTATGCGCCCCCGTTCATAATTAAATATTTTTCGCGATGATGAAGCCGATCGTCATTTTGAACACGTCCGCGTATACGTATACGTATTATATTCCACGATAGCTACATCTGATTTCACTCGGAAAACTTGAATTTACCAGCCGCAACAGAACGTTGCCCGCCGATCGCCTTCTACCTCTTCTTTAAGGCATATTTATATTCAGGCCGCGCATGAGCCCGCTTTGCTTTCTTCTATTATCTCTTAGCGTGCCCAGCTTTAGTTCGAGCCCTCTCCGTCCCGCCGTCGAGAAATGGCTGGTAAAAACTAATTAAATTTTCCCGTGATATGGCGATTCCGATGATAACCGTTATTACACTTTCGGGAGACCGTGAAGAGAAACGCGAAACGAATAAAATGGTACAGCAGCCGCACGCGTTGCGCGACATTTTACGACCGTTTCGGGGCTAATCCCCACGCTAATTAGACGCGAAATGAGCAACGATTACGTCACCCCGGCGAAAGACAAAAACACCCGTTATGCGAGCGGCGCGAGCTATTTTGGAAACAAATGCTTCCACCCGGACTGTGCAGAAACCCGACTCGAAAATGTGTCACCGGTAGGTGACGATAGGCACGCTTCCAGAGACAAAAGATTAGAAGATATGAGATGCTCGCTGAAAAATATATGACTTTTCCCTTTTTCGTTTTATATCATTTTGTTCCCAGGAAAATAGCTCCAAAGTGTGATAACAGCATAGCTGTTGGAGTGAAAGAGCTTCCCGTAACATGATAACAATATAGTGAAAGGTATCCATTTTATCCATCCAAACTATCGTTCGCCTTATCATGTGTAATTATTCATGTGTAATTTAAGCAAGTGCAGTGAAAAAATAATTATCGCTTGTTTTTCTTATTTATGCGCTTATATTGCTCCAAATATGATAACATATTTTACATATTTTGTCTGCGCTTTTTTATCTACGCTAATACATTAGAATGTTCATAAAAAAAAAAATACCTTTAACTAATAAAGTTACTTCATTTTAATTTGCGATTGCCGACAGGTAACGATTGAATGACGTGATATAAGAAGTGTGAAATTTAATTACT